TTAGACGATCCACACATAAGACAAACATGATTTAATAAATCTAAGATTTGTATGTTGTGCGTATTTAGACGATCCCGTTTTTCATTCACAATTTGATAATTGAACCATTGTCTTATGCGTGAGTATATAATGTATTTCTCAATGGTATAAATGCCGTGAAGAAAATAATTGTAGAAAAAGTACTTTGTCTTTAATCTAGACTATTAAATTTTATTTGAAAAAAAAAAACTGTTGTACGCCCATATAAGCTCATTATGTGCCTATATATGGTCATGATCTAATGGCATCATGACCATATTTAGGCATGTCACATGGTTTTGCTTTTGACAGGGCTTAAAGTGCACTCATTTTGATTCAACATCGAAAAAAACAAACGAACTACTGGCGCCCTTCACAATTCCATATACAGCAGTAGTGATATGCAACATAATAAAAACTCAATTATTTTTCACTTATAAATAGATGGTAGCATGAAGCTGATGCTTTGTCTACAGAAGTGGTTTCAGGTAAGTTTGAATTTAATTTTTTTTTAATTATTTGTCCTCACTTTACGTAATTTTACATAATTTCATTACAGGGTTTCCAAATTGAAAGCAAAAAGTCTGCTTGAAGATCTGGTTTAATGAGTTTTCTTAACACATCTACTTTTTAATTAGTGCGTGGTGATGTCCATGCTAGCTCACTTCACAGAGACAATTCTTAATACAGTAGTAAACAAAATACAATGTGTGTTCCCAATTTCTTGGACTCCAGAGAGATTAGTTTTTCTCTGCTTTCAGTATAGCCCAATATCTTAATTGAAATTGTTCTTTCCGATAGTGATTCAAAAAACAACATGGATGTGGCACTGCCCTCAACGTGGCTGTGACTCAGATAACTGCATTGTTGTTCGTCTTGTCTTTTCCTACAGGTACAACTCTAATTTATTGATTAAAGTTCTTTCAAGTTGCTACTGTTGTTGGTAGTATGTGTCTAATATATTAGCAGCGATCTTGTTATCATTTTCAATCAATTCTGGCTTCAATATTGTGAGTTGATTTACATTTGTTCTTTGTCTGTTCCTCCATCGGATAAACATTTCTAAAGTAGTTTCCACAATCTGTCTCTGAAACTTTGTATCTACATCGTCAATTTCTGCTTAGTTATTTCAAGACTCCTAGCAACAGCTTTCCAACCTCTACCCATCATCTCAGATATAACTAATAGATTAGCATCTTGAATGTACCCTGATTAAAACAAAATTAAACAAAAGTTTAAAATAAATAATACTGTGAAATAATTATTGTATGGGCAAATATGTTTACTGATCCTTTATCCAGTCACTCAGGTAGGGATCAGGATTTATTATTATTTATTATTATTATTATTATTATTATTATTGTTATTGTTATTGTTATTATTATTATTATTGTTATATTTATTATTGTTATTTATTATTATTATTATTATTATTATTATTATTATTATTATTCATGACCAAGCTGCAATTCCTTCTAGCAGTCAGTTGATAATATTTTATATATTATAAAACATATGTTTTATATATTTTTTGTACTACTATTGTAAAAGGGGTTAAATGTGATAAGAGAAATCTTATTTTTAGCCTCCTATTTGCCATGTGTATTTGCTTGATTTATCTTGTATTCGTTTTTAAAATGTGTCAATTCATGTGAATGAATACAAATTCTTAATATCACATGGGGGAAAAGGGGTGTAATTATTAACTAACCACCCCCCACCCGCCCCTTTTACTGTTTTCCCCGTTTTTGAAATATTCCAAATTTTTCTTCAAATATGTTTTTTGTGGCTTAGTAAATTCAGTTGCACAACATATCAAAACAAATTTTTACTCCGGAGCCTGGCTTTATAATATCCTTTTCGTGTGGGTGTGGGTGTGTGTGTGGATGTGAGAGTGTGTGTTTGGTTGTGGGTGGGTGTGTGTGCTGACATAGTGTAGACATGGAGGAGAAATGGACCTGGATGCTTGAGAGTTAAGCTGTTAGTCAGGCCATACTGTATTTTTTTTTATAAACTGTTACGTCAAAAGGAAAATTTTGGCATACAATGGACATTGGTGAAATATTGGTTCGGTCAAAACCGGACAAGAAAAAAACACAACACTCCTTACGGCCTCGTAATGGTATTCTCAGAATTTAGCGTGCACAAAACAAAATGTTGTGGAATATCTGGGTAAAGGTACATCATCTTTTTTTTTTATCGTTTAAAGCAATACAACTAAATCGTTATATTTAATATATATCATGGTATTGCACCAGAATGCTAAATGAGCTTAGAAAGGTTTCCAATGGACACTCACATTTTTCCAAGGGACATCAAGAACAAAAAAAAAACCCCACTTATATCACCACTTTTTGTTTTAACAGTATAAATTTATGCAATAGTTTACCCACACACAGGGCTATTTGGTGTCAGAAGTGTTTTAAACAAAGTTAAAATGTATTCGTCCCAGCAACAGAAACGTTATATTTGATTAAGATGCTTGTTATGTTGTTTCATAAAATAAATTTTGTCACTTTATTTACATATTTATTTACTTATTTTTAATTAATATTTTTTCTAGACCCTTTGGAAACAAACTTCCTGGTTTAAAGGGTCATCCAATGCTCTGTCTAACCTTATCAGTTATATTATCTTCCAGTTTTTCGTGTGGTTCCTTGTATGATTGGAGATATCTTTCTTTCTTCTATTGTTTAAAACTGTGCCTTTTATTTTTATTTTGTTGTTGTGTGAACTGGAATTTCTTTTGATGAATGTCAACATTATCACCATCATCCATTTATTCCAAATGAGGCTATAGAGGGGGATTTTTTAGAGGCCTTTTTATAAGGGAAGTTTATTCAAATCACGGTGTTTATTCAAGTGAATTCATAATAACGGTATATGTTTTTTTAACAAGTTGTTGGCATGCGTTTAAAAAACGATACTTGCAGAACGATTTTTAATGTCAACATCTCTATGTACATTTCTGTTAAAGTCGTCAATAGGGGGAGGGGGAAATATTCCTAAGAGAGTTTTTATAATAAACGCCAAACAAAAAATCCCTCCAAATCCCTGGAAAGTATGGCTATGGATTTGAAAACCTTATTTAATCAGATTAAGAGTTGAACAATAAAATTTCCAGTGACTAATGGTGCTTTTTGCTTCTCGAAGGGTAGTGAGGGGAGGGGGAAGTCCTCACATCCTGGCCCCAGTGGTACAACCCCTGCTAGCCTAACCGGGCAAGTATAAACGTCCCTCAAAAATGCTCCCTCATATCTTCAGATTGGCTAGCAACACAGTTAAAAAAAAACACCAACACATACAGCACAATAATAATCATTAATTCATCAATCAATTTACCAATTTACATTTTATTTAAAAACCTGCATTTTGCAGAAATAAAACCTAATTATGTAATTTACAAATTGGATAGACGGAATGAAAAACCTCAATAGATAAAAATGTTAAAAAATTCAAATCGACCATTTAAAAAAATAATACAAGTCAGGCCACGCCGGTCCCCAGGGGTAAATTTTCCAATTAGAATGAGGACAAATATTATTAATAATATAATCAGATCTTGAAAATACTATACATACAATAACCAACAAGGCAAGCATTTGTGATATCAATAATGTTTATGTACCTTTATAGTTTGAAAAAGGGACGAGGATATGATCATTCTGGGCCGTAGCCTTCTATTTTTTATTTTTGTGGATGCTTAGATTTGATATTTAAAAAAAAAAATGCATCCTATACTGGAATAATTTGGGCCATTTTATTTTAATTATGCAGGAATCCAGATATGTAACACTGTCCACCATCTTTATCCCACTCCTGCAGACTGTAAAGTAAGCTGTGCGAGGAATATATTCTCCGGGCAAACATTTTGCCAAATATTAGGCCTTGGCCTAATCTTAATATATAAAAATGTATTATGCAGTAATTACGATTCTGCGCATCTATTTTCCTTGCGATTTTCCATGCGGCAAATTTGAGCTGGTGTTTGAGGTATCATCCCATAATTACAAAACTTTGGCCCAGGCATAATAAACAACGCCCTCAAACATGTAATCAGAATATTTCAATTAAATGAAGGTATTTTTCTTAATTCTTAAGATATAACATTCTAAAATATTTTTAAAAATCTTATTGAAAAAAACTTGTTTGGCCTTTCAGTATCAAAATTAGCTTAAATAGCTGGTTTAAAAAATATACTATCTTTATATAAATATGAAATGAGAAAGTGTTTATTATTATGTACAATTGCATTATATACATAATGTAAAGCGCTTAGAAGCCTTGTGGAGTTAAATGCTATGTAAATCTAACATATAATTATTATTAATATTATAAATGCATTGTTGTGATATAAAAACAAAATGTATCATATAATTAATGTAAAGCAACTTGGCTGTCACAAAAATATGATTCTATGTTTAAAGAATATAAAAGCACAGTATATATTTGTATAATACTGTTATATTTATCAAATGTACAATATTAAATTATGTATTTCCTATATATACTGTATTATATTATCATTTACTTCCTATATAACATATCAAATCATCTTGTGTCATTATTTGCCCTACACTGTGGCATTAAACTCTATTGAGTGTCGTAATCGCAGTGGTGGGGGCAGGAAATGTACAATATTAAATTATGTATTTCCTATATATACAGTATATTATCATTTACTTCCTATATAAAATATCAAATCTTGTGTCATTATTTGCCCTATGATACACTGTGGCATTAAACTCTATTGAGTGTCGTAATCGCAGTGGTGGGGGCAGGAAATGAACAATATTAAATTATGTATTTCCTATATATACTGTATATTATCATTTACTCCCTATATATCATATTAAATCTTGTGTCATTATTTGCCCTATGATACACTGTGGCATTAAATTCTATTGAGTGTCGTAATCGCAGTGGTGCGGGTGGGGGAATTATCCCTGGCCTAATCAATGTCTATTTGTCTTTTGAAATTGTCAGTACCAATGTGTAGCTATGTTCTGTCATTATTCTTCATGAGTTTCCTGTTAGTACTTCCGTAGTTTTTTAACGACTGCCTTCTTTCTAAGTTTTTCCAATACATCACTCATCTTTACAAGGTAGTTTACTTCAGTGTTTTGCCTTTCTCACCACATAACCAGCATTTCCAGTCTTGCGTCCACAGTTGGTGGTGAAAAGTCTAGCTCAATTCTTACTATTTCAGGTTTCTTTAGACCAATGATGCTGCCATAGGATTTCCAATCCTTTCCAAGCTCCTCTGCAATGAATTGCATATCAATGTCTCATAAGAATCCTAAACGAAAAGAAAAGACATCAATATTAAAACACTTTCAGAACATTGTGGACTTCACAGTTCGGCCAATACAAAGGTTGGTAAAATGTGTCCTGTCTATACACCATTTTATTGGGAATATTTTGAAACAGCGAATATATAAACGGCAAACAAATGACGGAAACATTTGAAAGCGATACTGAGGATGTATCGTAATACAGTATCGATCTGTTGTGAACATGAAACATTCTAAAAATTTCATTCAAAAAATATATAATTAAATAATAATGGACAAGTTGAGTGACAGAGTGGTAAATCAGGGGTGTCGCTAACTACAGCCTTAATATTGGTGCTGGATGGGTCACTCCTTGCCCAGGGTTCAGTTGGTAGCACCAAGTTTTCTCAATAAGGAATGAAAACCAGAGGTCCACTGTATTGGCTTGTGTTCACTTTAAAGAAACACTGCATTTTTTAGAAGAGTATGGGGTTACCCCGATGCTATGCTTTATTTCATCCCTTGCCTTTGTGGAATGATGAAAACATGAACCTACTACCAACCTACGATGGCTAAACAGTCAAAAATAACGCTCATATGCAATTCAGCACAATGACATTGCAAGTTATGGGTTGTTATTCTGCTACTTTACATTAACATATATCATATTACCAACCTTTGCATTTCTGGTGCACTTGATGTAATCGTCCACTGGCAAGTACTCTAACTGCTTTTAAACTGGATGGTTGACCCTCTGATACCTCTGAGCCGAAGTCCTTGTTAGCAAGTTTTAGGAGTCCTTGCTTCTTCAAAGCCCTGCACATTTATCTCAACTTTATTTTTCTCAGTGAGTTTAACCTTTTTCTGCTTTTCGGTGTAGCCTGATATCATATTAAAAATTGTTTGTTCGTTTTGATAGCAATTCATAAACCAATAAACTGCATTGTTGTTTGTTGTGTCAAGACAACATGACATCAAATGGGCCATGCAGACTATTGTTAATGTACGCAATAGTAATGATATATCTGGTATTTGGTAAATATTTCTCAAATATTTTCACACTATTATTTCGTTAGTGCCACAATCTCTGTTTAGTCCATACCCGATAGGTACAGTACATGTATCACTAATTCATTGATTCAAGTTCTTTCAAGTTCTTTATGCATGTTGGTAGTATGCGTATAATTTCTTTGCGATCTTTTTATTTTTTTTCATCAATGCTGCCTTCAATATTTTGAGTTGATTTACATTTCTTCCTTGTCTGTTCCTCCATCGGACAAGCATTTCTAAAGCAGCGTCCATAATCTGTCTCTGAAACTTTGTATCTACATCTTCAATTTCCGTTTCATTTATTCCAAGATTCTTGGCAATAGCTTTCCAACCACTACCCATCATCTCAGATATAAATAATAGATCAGCATCTTGCATGTACCCTGATTAAAACAAAAATTAAACCAAAATTACGCCATATCTATACTGAAACATAATGGCATTTAACTTGCACAGCAGTCGGACCGCTTCTTTCCTTGCATGGTATTATGCAATATAAAATATGTATGTACATTTCTTCCTGACTACTGTTTATAAATTTCAAAAATCATCACATTACTACACTGTTTACATTTACCAATAATAATTTTATTTCTATTTTCTCCTCCGTTTAGATGTTTTTTGCAAAACTACTTGCTAAATAAAGAAAACTAAATTTTATTTTTTACCCGCCCTCCTGTGACGAAAAAAAAAAAAAGTTTGCGAAACAATGTATAAAAAAAAAAGTGGAAAAGTTGATGTAAATTGATCCAGTAGCTTTTGAGTTATGCACCCGGAAGAGGACACACACACACATAACGCATAATATTCCCATACCCACCACTCCTTGGGGTAAAAATAAATAATATAATATCCTGGATACATGTTAAAAGTACATAAAAAAATAATGGCTTTTTTGAAAGATAGCATATAATCCCCTAAAAAGATGAAACCTAAGCACAGTACTTTTAAATGCATTGAACCTCTCAAGTCTGTTAATGCTGAAAAAACAAGCTTGCTCAATTCAAATGTTTGACTCTCTCTTAAAACCACATCTGATTGCTGTTACCGAGACTTGGCTTAATTTGGATGTAGCAGATATTGAAATGTTACATGACAGTTACACCATACACTGTAGGCACAGAATTAATTGTCAGGATGGTGAGGTACTTTTAGCTGTTGATCACACGATTTCATCAATAGACGACAAGATCTTGAACCGAACATTAGTGAAATTCTGCTCCGGGAAATTCATCCACCATTCTTCAGGAAATTTGCAGTTGTGTTATGTAAATAATAATAAAATAATGTTTAATATTTTGTATCAAATTGATATTCACCAACCTCCTACTAGTCTATGTTGTGTTGAAAGTTCAGGTTGATTTGCAGCAGCGTCAAGGTCGTCTTTGTAGCCACGCCTTTCACACAATCGTTCTGCAACTTGTACAAGTCCCTGTTCTCTCAACGCGTTGATCATGATTGGCATTTGGTTTGTTGATTGGCCATCTCTCCAAGTCACCAGAGTTTCCATGATGCCATCTTTCAGTGTGTTGTTGTCTGCTATGACATTAATCTTGTTCCATTCAAGTCCAAGTCGCACTCCTAATCTCCTCCAATCAGAGGGCAGACCTTCACAGATGAACAGCAGGTCTTTGTCGTCAAGGGATGCTGGTTGATCAATAAGGAAATGAAAGAAATTGGATTTATTAATGGTAAATCCAAGTCACTATTTAAAAGTATCAACAAATAGGTTTTCAGACCTAATGAAGATTTACAATAATCTGTAAATCCATTAGCAGGCATTTAAAGTTATATGCTAAAGAATGATTTTGTTATTAATACTTTGCCACGGAAACCTTCCACAAATGTAAAGAATGTAGGAATGTTTTTTTGGATTTTTAAATTTTTTTTTTATTTGATTTATTCGGTGTAAACACCAAGGATAGCCCACGAAGACTGGCAGAAGACTTATTTCCAGTGGGGTCCTACTGGAGGTGATTAAGCAGTATATCGCGAGACAATCCCATCCTCTTTTCCGAATAGTGTACTGCGTTCTTTAACATGCACATGGGCCATAATGAACACGGAACCAACAACTTAAACGTCTCATCCGAAAGACGGTGCGCTTTTGTAACTTGTATTTCAGCCCTCTAGCTGAAACACAAGGAGGCAGCGATGGGAATTGAACCGGGGACCTAGAGATCTCCACGGTTCAGCGCACACAAAGCAGCTACCATCAGATTAGGACTCAGCTAAGCTGCTCTCTCTGTTTTATGCAGCACACTCATTACCTGGCCAGAAAATGTTTTCCTCATTTTAATTAAAGCTAAAAATACGGTTTTTTGTCATTGTCCATATTGTGATATGGTGTGACTGACTGTATTTTAGATAATGTTAAGTAAATGGATATATTATCATGAATAGTGCATTACTAACCATCGTATTAATGGTGTGTTGTGGGTAATCTGCCACTGGTATCTTCACCTGCATTTACATTGGACTCTTTAACCTCTGACATTTGAGAGCCAAAGATTTTGTTAGCAAGCTCTGTGAGTCCTTGCTCCTTCAAAGCTCTGCACATTATCTCAACTTGATTTGTCTCGTAGTTCTGTTGTTTCCTCCATTCTGTAAGCATATCCATTATGGAGTCGAACAATTGTCTGTTGTCACTCCATATTTGTTGGAGCCTGTTCCAACTGAGACCCAGTCTGACACCCAGTTGTTTATATTCCCGTCTCATGTCTTTGGCAATATGAAGCAGATGCTTGTCTTCCAGATAACCAAGACATTCATCTGAAGTGAAAATTAAAGTAGACCAGATACAATAAAACAATTGGAATAATAATATTACTGTAATAAAAATAATATAATATTTATAATAAATCAATGGGATCCAGTCAAGTCATCCCCTTGTCAAGTCGCCCACCTTGTCAAGTCGCCCCCCCCCCCCTTGTCAAGTCGCCCAATTACCAAGACGCCCAATTACCAAGTCGCCCCCTAGCAAAGTCGCCCCCTAGCAAAGTCACCCACCTTGACTAATGTTGAATATTATTATTAACTAACCTTTTAAACATATTTTGAACTTATCTAGGCCAGGAAGGAGCTAGCTAGTTAATTAAAATTACATGCAAACATAATCAGTATACAAAACTATTAAGAAATCACCGCTTTACTAAAATATAGGCCAACAACTTCATTCACTGAATCGCAGAAGTTTGTCTAAACCACTGCCACATTCAGCATTTGACAATCTTTCTGTCTTCGATAACATTCCTGGATTGGCGGTGTACAAAGATTTGACATGATTCTTCCAATAATATCGCAGGAGCCTACTTAGCCTACCGTTACTAGGCAACCTGCAATACCATGGTAAATAGTCAAATTTCGAGGACATTCAAGGACAATCGTAAATTTCCAGGACTTTCCAGTACTAAAAAATGCTCATTTGTTTTTCAGGACATTCAAGGAATTTAAGGACGCGTGCAAATCCTGATAACATTTAAAACACTAACCTGGTGGCGCTGTTTCAGTAACACTGGAACCTGCTAATTGCATTGGAGAATCTACAACAAATAAATTGTTATAACAATAAATAAAAAATCAAATTATTAAAACTGACTATCACCATCAAATATTGGATCAGGATCAAATCAGTTTATATAAATCAATGGTGTATTTATACTATATCACAGGTGGGCATGGGTCAAATACTGCCTACAATTTTCTTGTTGCCCTCAAAAATAATATTAAAAAGCTATGTTTGCAGCCAAACCTCTTTGGCTAAAAAACCCTGTGTTGGAATGGACCGATAACAATAACCTGAAAAAGTAATAATAAAATGGAACCCCTCTGGAAATAAATCTGTTTTAGGATATTGAGGGTTATCCCTGAAATTATAACTTTATGATATCAAATAAAATAAAATCAAAACTGAGCATAAAGATAAAAGCAGTAAATGAATGTAAATTCACTTTGGCCCTCTGACAATTTTTATTTCCATCTCTTATTACTGGATAATGCTTTCCCCTCCTTGCTTTGCACTGAGGAGTACCAATCCAGATTCAGTAATGAAACAATGATTTCCAAGGAGTAATTTGAAAATTTTAAAATGTAAATTATAAATTATCATTAAAAGAAAAATATGAAAAAATTGAATAAAATATGTTTTAACGCTCTCACTAATTGTATGGTACAGCGGCGCATATTAGAAAGATAAGAAAGATCTAGACCATGTAGTCAAGATCGCCTCTTGTATTAACTGTATTGACCAGCGTTCAGTCAACAAGATCTAGCAAGACAGACTTTTAGTGTATAAATATGTTATTATTATTATAGGTGTGCACAGTTTGTGTATGTATTTGTTTTTGATTAAAAAAAAAATGCTTGATTTACCTGTCACTAGTTGCCTATTCTTGAACATTCTCTGAAGTTTGCCTGTGGTTATCAATACCTTCCCACATAGGATACAGTCATTTTCCAGGCACTCCTCCAAATCGTGGAAGTGCATTTCTTGCAAGTTTACCCAGCACAGGACACGGAACTTATAACGTGTGTGCTTCATTCCAGACGTCAGTACTTTCATTTCTTTCTTCAGAAACTCTAACACCTTAAATGAAGATTTTTAATACAAAATAAAAATTAAAGTTGAAAACATTACAAAAATATAAGAAAATGAATCATACTATATTAGAGAAGCACCACCAAAAAATGATTTATGATTTCAATTTTGAATTGTTAGATTTTATATGATTTAATTGATTTCATGATGCTCAATGAAACAATGACGCAATAGTGCTGTTGCTTTTGCTATCAGAATTATTGCTATTTATATTGTCATCAATATTATAGTCATTATCATTTTAAAATTATTATTTTATTTTTAAAAGTTCAATAATTTTTCATTATGCTATTATAAGAATTCATCTTTTTATTGGTTTCATGTTTCATATGGATGTCTTTTTCAAAATTATTTTTCATTTTGTCAGTATATTTCTTCTATTTTTTCTGTGTATTTTAAATTTGTTTGTTGAGGATCTCTAAATATTAGCTTTCCATTAATGGTGGCTGCACAGGCTATCCTCATTAAATAAAGTCCCAACAAATATATAAATAAACAAGAAAACAGACAATACATTATCTGTCATTAAATAAAGTTCCAACAAAATATATAAATAAACAAGAAAACAGACAATACACTACTAGCTGTCCAGATCACAAAAAAGTATATCTGTATATTAAATATTTGGATTGCACTTGTACTACTGTATGTTCATCCAAGCACAGTAGAAAATATATTACTCATACACTCTACCCAGATAAATCTACTTATGATTATCTCCAGGTAATATCACTAATAATGAACATCACCATTGCTGTGTGTAATTTTACAGCTGCTATTTCAATTGCAAGATTTCAAATATCAAACTAGATTACCTGCATACAGACTCTAGGACTGGGTTCACCTCTTGGTGTCTTGGTACCATCCTCCTGAATGATAGGCACCCGTAATATTTCCAGCTAAAATACAAACATTAAATCAATCAATAATTCCATGCATGCCCGAAATATATCAATACATTAAGTGAACAATCAAATCCTCTATTTAAATTTTATCCTAATTAAACTGCAAGCTACTTGCCACTTTTTTTTTTTTTGTAAATCATGGATCCAACAAAAACAGTTTGGGTGGAGCATGCAAAATGTGAAGCACTGAGCAGGGGAAGGGTGTGGGGATGATGTTGAATTTTTTTCTATAAATGCTTGACAATGGTACATGGAATCTGAAAGTTTTTGGCGTACCATGGGCTCTTTCTCCTCTAATTTTACTTTCTTTTTTTTTTTTGGTTGGTGGGAGGGACATGTCACCTGGATCTGTCCTGTATTACCCTCCTAACACTACTTTTGTTAAAATAAAGCAAGGAGCATTATCCCTTTATATTCACCTATCTCTCAGCTGTTACTGTAACAAATTTTTTCTATTCATTACAATAACAACAATTAAAAAAACCATACAAGTGTGTGACATTCAAATAACTCTTAGAAAGATACTTTTACCTTTATCACTCTTGTCTTGATTTTGATTTTCACTTTATTGCCTATCACTCCAATGGTTAGTAACTAAATGACATCTCTTAACATCTTACCTTCAATGAGGGCTTGTTATTAATGACTACTGGTCCTAAGCTGAGAGTGTGTTCACGTCCAAGGTGGATGTTAGCATAGTTGCTAAATAATTGCAGCATGGCTGTGTAGCCCATGTCTTGTACCATTCCAATCAAGCTCACAACCAGAGGATGGAAGACACTATCAGGGATGAAATCCTCGGAGGCCATGTAGATAGATACCATCTGAGCTGTATCATGTTCAATAGACACATTGTCTTTGCTCCGTTTCAATCGACAGGGAACAAAAAACGAGCGATGTTTGCTTTCCTGATTCTTGTGAAAAAAACAAATGAATTAAATAAAAAGATAGAAAATACCAGAAAAATGTACATACATTACCAGTTTTTTAAATAATCACATGTTCTGCAATCCAAATGGCATGCGAGGTAGAGTAAGATTAACATTCTTAAAATAATTTAAACTCTCTTTTTTTAAAAATAATTTGCTGAATTTCATTTTACAATGAAAAGATGGAATAAGTCACCATTTATGTCTGCATTTCTTTGCCTTTTAAAAAAATCTATATTAATTTATCTTTTAATAGATTTGTATTTGGATTGATTGCACTGTATATTGTATATAAGTTAGTTAAGGGGCAGGTCAATTTATCATTAACTACTGTAGCTGAATGGCTAGTGACTATCTGAACTCTCCAAGTATTTGCCAACAGAAAAAACACAACAGAAAA